CTGTCCCATAGGGCCTAGAAATTTCCTCAATTCGACCAGTGTTGGCAGGAGTACCTCAAGGATCAATATTGGCTCCTTTACTCTAGATTATATATACGCGTGACATACCTATCAATTCCGAAACACTTACCGCCACCTACGCAGATGATACAACAATTTTAACAAAACACCCCAGACTAGCTTCAATGAATTTACAAAATCACTTACTGACTTTGCAAAATTGGTGCTCACTTTGGAAAATAAGATTAAATCATGACAAGTCACAACATATAACATTTACAATTCGACGAGGAATGTGCCCACCAGTTTATACATGGACACACAAACAGACTTATAAGCGACATGGCCACGACTGACATGCCCATCAGGAGGGGACTAAAAAGGAGCTGGATGAGAGATCTCTTCACTTGAATCAAGGAAATAAGTAATCAGCAGGAGGAGGTACTGCTGGGTGTGCTATCCTTCCTCATGCCTATAATAATATCGATCCTTATTTATCACATCACATCTGCTTATTGTCAATACAATACTTATTGTCATGACAGGTGCGGATACATATTTGAGGATAAAAAGGAAAAAATTGTTATAAATTAGAACTACTGTTAAAATAATATTTAATTTCAATGTATTTTGGTCGTCTTTAATTGTAAAAAGAATCGGCGAATCAGAAGTTTTTCTAATGTTATTGAATATCAAGCCATTTACCATTTACCTACTAGGTAATAGGTAAATGTACCAATAATAGACAGTTTTCAACTCGATAATAGATAATAAGCTTTATACATCCAAATGAGTGCACGAACACTGGTATTAATAAAGCTAGAATACTTAGGAGGGTAATGCATGAACTTCCAGTGATATCATGTTGCATTAGCCGATTGGTTGATTTTTTAAAGTTTATTTTTTAATGGAACAAGGCTGAATTTGTATTGTCTTATTATTTTTGTTTAAGATAAAGGTTTGAAATTTCGATTCATTTATCTGTAATTTGCCGTTTATGGCTTCCTTATTTTAAAACCGTTGAGAATTTATTTTGTTTTTTAATTATATAAAAAAAAAATGTTGACTCCAAAACCTGAGTGTCTATTATTGGTACAAATTACTTTGTTAGAATTTCCTAATATGTAGCTTTAATGCCCTCTCTCAGTCTCCACTGGATACATATCACAGTGACGCGGCTGAGAGAGAAGCGCTGGGATCTCTTAAAGTCTTGCCTTATCCTCCATAAGTGGGAGAAAGGGTCCGATTTGGTGCTCCCTCGGCTGACTGTAAATATTGTAAATAAGTATGAATGTGTTTTTATGTTTTTATTTTATGTTGTCTCATGTTTTATTTCTTCTGTTTTACTAAGTTTTCTTTTCTTTTGTTATAATTTATCTGTTTCTTTTTTCTTTTTTAATTAAATAAATAAATTAAATTACTGTTAAAATGAGAATCTTTACAAATTATCACAAACTTCAGAGCACCTTCGCAACCGAAAAAGTAAATAGTTTTTTTTATCTTCATAATGCGGTTTTCTGCAGTATTACCATTTGAAAAAAAATTAAAATTTTGTAGCCCTCGTCTTATGAAAGATGTCAATAATTTATTTTATAGACTAATGAATGGAGTTGAGGCTTATTTATCTCGTATTAAAATGACATTTATTAAAAGGGGTTGTTGAAAAAATAACTTTTTAAATAATATTTTATTCATTCATTGATATTTACAACTGTATTATAAAAAATACAACTAGTAAATGTGCACTCAGGAATATAATAACATGAAATCGCTTGTTGAGAAACTACCCACTGATAGCAGTCAAATAATAACTTTATACAAGAAGATCACAAGGCCACCTTCTTTTCAGGCGCCTCGGAGGGGATCGAGGAGGAAGCAAGGTTTGAAAAGAGAGGGTTCGAAGTTTGTTATGGAAGGATAAGGTGTATCTGGATTGGCCCAAATCGGAAACATATGGAACATTAAGGTCTTTATGGATGATTTTATTTGTGACAAAGTAGGGAGCATTAAGGATTTTACGAAGGATTTTGGATTGTAGGGATTGGATACGAGAGGAATTCGATGGTTTAGTGGAGCCCCAAAGCTCAATTCCGTAAGTCCAAATAGGTCTTTTTATTGTCATATATATGAGTCGTTTGTAATTGATTGAAAGCTTAGAGCGTTTGTCTAGTAAGTGCTGCAGTAGTCGGAAACGTCGAGCGGTTTCTTGTCGTTTCAGTCTTGTATGAGGATTCCATGTGAGTCGTTTGTCCAGGTGGAGTCCTAGATAACGGATTTGTTCAAATGCGATAAGTGGAGAATTGTTAAATAATACTGTAGGACATAGGTTTGCCACGCAGAGTAAAGGTAATTTAAAAATGAAGTAATTTAAAAAGGGCTAAAATATTAGTATACCAAAAGAAAAGAAAACTTTAAAATGGAAATAAGCAACAAGAAGTCTATTTTATTGTTGTAACTTGTGTAGGACCAAAATATGACTAAAACATAATTTTTTTCTATTTTTGTTTAATGAAAGTATTATTTTTTCTTCTTGTGGACAAATGTAGAATATTAGTCTTTCACAGTTTAGAGAATTTGGGAGTTGAGAAGATTCGGTGTTTTTGATAATCGACTAAAATCTTAAAAAGGAGCATTCAGGATTGAACAACCTCACAAAAAAAATTTGTTTTGGATAGCATTAATCGTGTAAAAGAATTTATTTATGGTTACACTTAACAGCTCTACTTTATTATTAATTTATCAAATAATAAAATAAGCAATCAAATATAAATAATCTCAATTCCAAAATTTACTGTTGATTCGACCGTAAATACCGAATCAATCACGTTATATTTATATCGAATATAATTTATGTGGATTATTTATATTCGTACCTATTCATGTTAATATTCTGCTGATGTTTATTATTTCTTATTTTATTTTTAAATGAATCCTTAGTAATGTTTTAGTTTCGCTTAGTAACGCTGCTAATTACCAATTGCCTGCTAAGATTGCTGAAATATAACGTGGCAAATGGGTCATAGGCTTCCTCAATGATTGCCCGCAGACAGCTAATTATAGGTAATTTTGTTGAGTTCATGCCTTACCTCTTTTTCCCGTGCCTAATGCTCACATTTTCACATCCCCTTGTGTCTTTACGCAACACTCGCGGGAACACATCTGTTCCGATACGGTTTCCGGCTTGAAATCATAACTAATTCATGATTCCTTCTCACCAGGATTATTGCCGTTCCTATAAATTATTACTAAGACTTGTATCAATGGTGAAGCTGTTTCGACTCCCAAGATTTTCGGGATGTTTTCTGTAAAAAAGTTAATACAAATGGGCCGTCAAAAAAGATGAAAAACACCTTTTGCTTGGCAAGCATTTTCTATTGAATTAATAATTATAGAGAGAAAACATTTTTATTTCTTATTAAGAGCGGTATCGTCTTATTTTTTTCATATTGAACTGTTCTTTTGAGCTAGTGTTGTCATAGGCGCAGACTTTCCATTCTGGTTGTGGTGGCGATGGTCCCCCCCCCCAGAAAAAAGTGTCTGGTGTATATATTATGTATACAAATTACGAGTGATAATCAACATAATCAAAATTATTATTGTTAACCATAATAATAATATTTACAAATATATATAAATGTTTATATATATTTTTTCACGTATGGATATGTTAAAAAACAATTGAATATACTATTTTTATTTAAAGGTTTGAGGCAGTGAGATGAACTCTCAATGTTAAAATGCTTTAAATTTACTGCGGAAAATATGATAAAATATTCCCTTAAAAATTGATGGATCCACATGAATTAATCAAAAAATCCTATGATATGTTGCTACATATAATTATCTTTGAATATTAACAAACATTTCAATAATAGAAACATAGGGAGTAGTTAAATACTTGCGTACCGACTTCTAGACCTTAGCGTAGCCATCTAGTTGACTTTTCCTAGTTCTTTAATTGCTTTTAGTTCACTAACGGATCCAGGATTTAGTTTTGAGGGGGGCTTAAAAAGCTTTCGGGTTGAAGCCCATTAACCCGAAAGCTTTTTTTTTATAAAAATAACGATAATTACTTTACAAAAAAAGAAATAAACTAACTGCCTACATGAAATGGTGTTTAGGTGATTCCTAAAGTCCTTTTAAATGTGATTATATGAACAATAATACTTTAACAGATAATTTTTTAATATTTTTTTCCATAAAAGATGGTTATATTTTATCTTTTTGGGGGGGAGAGGGGCTTCAGCCCAAAAGTCCCTCCCCGAAGATCCGCCCGTGTTTTAGTAAACATATTTTACTCATTTATGTAGACTAATTGTTATTGATTATGATTTTATCTTTGTTCTTCGAAATATTGGGAGATTTTACAGGAAGACGATCGCCCTTCCCCTTAAGTCTACTCCTATGAGTTTTGCTAATTTCACAAAGGGTTTCGTGATGGATAGGCCGCTTGTCCTATATAACCTCGTTATTTTGAAAATTTGGGGGCTTAGGTCACGCCAAACGGCTCAATATTTTTGTAGACCACCTTTTTTCTGGATTTGATGATAAAATTATCTTACTATCAAAGTCGAAAGCAAATGAGTATTTACGAGTTTTTATTGCCTAATTAAATAGACAAAGTTTGCCCCCCCCCCCCTCTCCAGATTGAAAACGCCCCAATTCCAAGAGTTTTCGTTAATAAAATAGTTGTAGGGTACAATGAGATGAAACTATTTGCGAAGTTTCAGAAGGATGTTAATAATTCGATAAAAAGGGGTCGCTACCACGAACTACTAATCTAGGTCTGTAATTATTATTAATAAATATTTTCATAAAGAGGGAAAGCACCTTAATAATAAGGGATAAACCTCTATCTTTAAAATAAAAATGGAAAGAAGTTAAATTTTTAGTATAAATAAAAAGTAATAATATTAATTAATCATTTACTACATAGCTGCAAAAGTCATATGTGTAGTACCTAAGTACCTCGACAGAATAGAAATAGAACAGAGAAAAGAGTGCAACATGCAAATACTGGTACTGGTAAAGAAGGTAGACGAATCTGGCGAGTGTGCCTCGCCGTCCGTTTTGTCAACTCTAAATAAGACGTACCAATGGAGACTATTTCTCCTCCATCTTAAATCTTTTCGTTTTCTTAATGAAATTCAAACACTCCACATCCAAAACAACAAATAAACTAATGGTTGCAGAACTCATATTTTAGTATTTGAGTACTAGTTTATATATATATTTAAAAACCCTTCTTTTTAAATTTATTTGATAAGTGATTTTTCGCTGAACAATGAATAGAAAAACAAACAGTAAATATATTGTTTTGTACAGTTACAATGTTATTGTATACACCACCATTAAAGTCTCCGCTAAACTTTATTTCTGTTATAGATGGCTTACACCGGCCGGGGCAGCTACTCGACCGCCAGCTCCGAGTCGACCTCTTCCAGCGGCGAGTCGAGAGTGCGAGCCGTCTGCCTCCACCGCAGGACCTCCGCAAAGCTGGGCTTCTCCATTCGGGGTGGGAAGGAGCATGGCACAGGATTCTTCGTCACCGCCGTCGAGCCCAACTCGGAGGCCTTCAAGCAAGGGCTCTTGGTAAGAGTTTAACGATTTCTTTTCAAAAATGAAAAATAGTAACATCAAAATCGTAAAAAAAAATAATATTGATTTAAATTAAATTTTAATTATTGTAATATTTTTTAGGGGTACCCATCCCCCTCAGGATCGATTTCGCCAGCCCTCCTTTCTAGTAATTGTATTTCTCCTCTCTTCTTAAAATCAGTCCAAGCTAAAGTAAAATTTGGAAATTGTAAATCATATACAAAAACACATGCAGTGATTGATTCCATGTTTTTCCTTTTCCTCGCGATTGAAATCTTTCAAAATTAAAACCCCTCAAAAATATGCTACCTGCAGAAACTCAGTGAAAATGTACCCTCTTCCCTCAAATATTAAAGGTCCAGTAAATACGTGTCATCCACTAAAATGTTTATGGTGTATCATGTGCATCCTTTCCTTCTGAACACCTCTGCTGTTGTTCAAAATCTTTGAAATTATGGCTTTTTTAAAATTTAAATACATGAGTTAAATAAAATGATGTAGATAAAAATTTAAAATTAAATGTCTCACACCAGACTGAAACGACTAGAAACCGCTAGACGTTTCCGATTACTTCAGCACTTACTAGACAACCGCTCTAAACTTCCAATTAATTACAGAAGACTCATATACATCACTATCATGAGGCCTATTTGGACTTACGGAGTTGACCTATGGGGCTCCACTAAACCATCGAATTCCAATCCTTACGATCCAAAATCCTTCGCAAAATCCTTAATGCTCCCTACTTTGTTACAAATAAAACCATCCATAATGACCTGAATGTTCCAGATCTTGCCCAATCCAGATACCTATCCTCCCATAATAAACTTCAAAATCATCCCAACCCTCTCCTTTCTAACCTTGCTTCCTCTTCAATTCCTGATAACCCTCCGAAGCGTCTGAAAAGTAGATGGCCCCGCGATCTCCTTAATGTAGACATATCATTCGAGTGCTATCATTGGGTAGTTTCTCAACAAGTGTTTCCACGTGATTATATCCATATGTTCAAATTTACTAAATTTATTTCTTTTATACAGTTGTAAATATCATTAAGAAATAATAATAATATATCTATACAGAACAATCCACAATTTACTTAAGTGTCATAAAAATAATGAATAGATTAATATAGTAGTATGATAAATACTAACGAAAAAATACGTAAACATATTGCTAGAAAAAAAATGATAGACCAATAGAAAAGTTCGAAAGTGCGGAGAACATCTCTAGTGACATTGTTTTTTTGAAAAAGAACAAAGTTGAAAGAGACAGTATGGTAAAACAGTGCGAAAGAATGAGTCTAGTGTGTGGTAAGTTCTAAAGATTCTTCGAGGAAAACTGACTAGATGAAATATTTCACTTTATAATTTTCATTCAAAATATCGAGGTTAGAAATTTTTATGATTTTATTTTATCTTTTTATATTTGTCAATTTTTTCAGGTTGGTGATCAGATCATCCGAATAAATGGTTTTCCTGTGGAAGATGCTACCCACAAAGAAGTTCTGCAGCTCATCCTCGGTCAAAACACAATCAACTTTAAGGTCAAATGTGAGTTCAAATTTTGAATTTTATATAATTTAAAGTACATATAAACACGTATAATTCAAAATATGATAAATAAAGGAGTTAAATACTGTATAATAGATAACATTTATTTTAAATAGAAATAGAGTTTGTCATTGTTAAAACCATTTAAAGAGGAGTTTTGAGCAGCTAAACTAAGTTTTTCTTTTAAATATGAAATTATTCGCGATTTTTTTATCATCTTCCAACTACGCTAGAAATACTCTACTTTTAAAAAAACTTCCTCGTTTAATAAGCTGTAAGTCCATATTAATTAAGTTGAGGTTTATTAGGCAAAAACTTGAGATTCATCTCAAGTTAATTAAGGAAATGAAGTTATTTATTCTAAAAGTACACGTGTTTTCTGCAAAAAATGACTATAATAAATTATTGAAAAGCTTTTTTGTTCCGAAGTGTATTATATAAACTTAACCACCATAGAAAAAATAAATAAAAATCATTATTTTTAACATATTTTTTTTGTAAATAAAAAGAGTATTTAAGTAATTATGTTCATTATAATACATTCTAGAATATAAAAAAACAATCAATAAAAGCTTTGCAACAGTTTATTGTAGTAATTTTTTCCTGAAAACACGGGTACTTTTAGGTGACTGGCTATGAAATCACATCATTTTATTAATCAATTTGAGATGAATCTCAACATCAACTTCAACTTAACTAATATTGACTTACAGCTTATTAAACGAGGAAGTTTTTCTAAAGGTGGGTTATTTCTAGCATAGTTGGAAAATGATAAAGAAATCGTAAATGATTTCTGATTAAAAAAAAAAAAGGAACTTATCTGAGTTTAGCCGCTCAAAATCCTCTTTACGTCGTTTTAACAATGACATACACTATTTCCATTTAAAGTAAATTTTGTCTAGTTTCCAATGAATCAATTGTTAATTACTTAAATTTCCTACTTTCTGCCAAAAATCGAATTAATGTTTTATAAACTATTTTTGTTGCTCCTGAGGTGTGCTATCACTCCTATAAATACTTCCCTCTACTTGCGGGAATCCCTGTATATTGGACTCGCCTTCAAATGTATCATCTATATCTCACAAGTTTATAATATGTAGTTTCATCACATAAATGACGCCCAAAACATGGAATCTGCTTTCTTAGTGATTTCGTAGCTACGGTTATCATTTCTAAATCGATTTGTTCATTTATCAATATATTCTGAACATCAAACCAAAATTTCGTACTAGTTTACTCACTTAAATAGATAATAAACGTCCTTCGCTGACTCTTTGGCGTCATTAGCTCTGGTAATTATCTAAAGTTTATTACTTGCTCCTGACGTCTTGCTATTATATTTTTTAATCTCAACTGTTTACATATTTAAAATATATGATTGCCTAACTAATGACTTTATTGCACTCTCCGAGGATTGAAGATATGATGGCCTTCAATGTCTTGAGCATTTTCGAGCTAAGATCGTTGTCCATGGGAACATACCGTGGCTCCAAACCATCAGTTATTAAGAGGTACCATGCCATTTAAAGCCAAGTTGAATTCTTGGATGTGAATGGAGGTGCAATCGTTCGCCCGGGATGCCGAATGGAAAGGTCAGCCGAAGTATTAGCTGCTATTCCTTCAGTCACTTCTAATGACACGGTCCTATTGTTTGATTTTCCTTTCTTCTCGGGTCAGTGGCCTCCGGTATTCGTCTTCATAATTGTCAATATACCAACCCCCTGGGCTGTTTGTTCAGTGATCCATCCACAATTCTTATTTCATAGATAGCATATCACACGATAAATTGATTGACACATAGTCACCAGCTGATTCAAGATTTAATTTTTTTTTGGAAGAGTGCTTTTTATTTCATTATTTTAATATTTTTCATAACGGTCAATATTATGGAAGCATACGAAAGAAATTATATGAAATTATGTCAAAATATTGCTTGAGGATCTGTAAAAGAAAGTTATTTCTCCTGGAATAACGTGGTTTTATATATTTATTTATATATATATATATATATATAAGAAAGACCAATGAAAAAAAAAAAAATCTATTTTAGGGGCTTCAGTCCGAAATCCTTCGATTCCGCTAGATCTGCTAGTGCATAAAGCTATAAAAACAGTTGATACGAGTAAGATAAATCTTTTTGCCATTGGATAGTGTAAGAATAAAGCGACAATATATATATATATATATATATATATATATATATATATATATATATATATATATATATATATATTTATTTATTTATTTATATTGCATAAAATAAAATGGAGGATAAGAAAAAAAAATCCTTTCACAACGATCTGTTAATTTCAATTTAACGATCGCTCAGTGGCTTTCGATTTTTTAAATGTATATTTAGTCAGTGATATGATATATAAGATAATGATTAAGTAGTATCGAGTAACAACTGATCGGAGAGAAAAGCAAGAATAAATTCTTGCAGAAATATTTATCCCAGTAAACAGGACTGAATATCACATTTTTTAATCACAAAAATGTATATCTCATGGTGTAATATGTACAATACATGCTTTATTATTATTTTCAATTTGAAGCTCGAGAAAATACTATATTTTGTGCATATATTATTTTTGGTACCCGTCCGGTTTAGAAAAAAATATATATTTGGCATACAGATATAGTATGTGTTAAATATTGGAACAAAAAGGACTGATCTAAGGAGTAAAGTGCATGCAAATAATTTTTAAAGAAAAAACCAAGTTGAAATTTATATCTCGCACGAAAAACTTGAAAAACTGTTAAATACGAATTTTCATACTAATCGAAAAATAAAAAATATTTGTTCAAAATCTTCTCCTAGGCTTAATGGAGCCTTAAATTTTGTTTCAAAAATCGCAAAGGTCGTGATAACTTCGACATGGCTCCACTTATCGACACGAAAATTAGCAAAAATTTGGGAGCTATATGTATATAAAATATAATTACAACAAGCGCTCAATTTTTCTGATTCTATAAAAAAAAAAATTATCAAATTTCTTAGTGATTGCAGATTCTGAAATGTCAGTGAATAAAAAGTTAATGATATAAACTGTCGATTTACTTAACAATCATATTTAAATTAACTAGAACAGAATTGATCATTCCGAAACCTTTAGCGGGCAACTTCGATGATTCGTAACGTAACTGCGGGCCGCACTTTAAATATAATATGTGAATATAATTCAAATACTATATGTTAAAATGTATTATATCCTCCAAATAAAATATACTTTAAATTTTATGCCGAGAAAGGGTTGGATCTGGGCGGGACAACATCCGTGCTGGGCTATGCTGATGATCTGGTACTGTTAAGCGAAGACGTTGAAACTATAAAACTAAATACGTCAACGTTAATGAAAGCCGGTAAAGAACTAGGACTCGAAATAAACGTGGATAAAACAAAATATATGGTTAACTGCAAAAATGGCGATACTACTGGTGATATCGATATAGATGGTAATATGTTTGAACAGGTAGATAAATTTAGGTATCTAGGTTCTACGATAACTAGAAAAAACGAAATTGAAGAAGAGATTAAGGTTAGACTGAAGGCGGGGAATGCTTGTTATTTTTCTGTGACAAAACTACTTAGTTCGCGCCTCTTATCCCGAAACTTAAAAATTAGAATCTATAAAACAATTATCTTGCCTACAGTTCTTTATGGATGCGAAACTTGGCCGCTTACATTAAGGGATGAGCAGCGTCTTAAGGTTTTTGAAAATAAAGTATTGCGTAGAATATTCGGACCGAAGAAGGATGAGTTAACCGGAGAGTTCAGACGGTTACACAACGCCGAATTGCGTGAGCTGTATCCGGGTAATATAATTGAGGTAATTTCATCGCGGCGAATCAAATGGGCTTGTAAAGTTGTTGGGCTTAGTAACGAGAGAATTCCTAAAAGGTTAATATTTGCTGTGCCGAATGGTAAGCGTCCGAGGGGTAGACCGAAGCGAAGGTGGGAAGATTGCATTAAAGCCGATCTGAAGGGACTGGGTTTGGACGGCGAACGGTGGAGGGAGGTGTGTAACAAGCGATTGGTGGTGCCGGCATCGAACCTTCGGGTTCGCTAAGCCTTATTATTATTATTATTATTAAATTTTATGCAAAGTAAAAATAAACTATCGAAGAGTGACCTATGAATAACTTTTGCAGGAACGATTATCAAATCATCCATACTATGAGTCCTTATGAGTCCCAAGTACACAAAGTTAGGCGTTAATTGTAAATAAAATCAGTTCTTTAAAAAAATTATACCATTTTAATTTTCATCAAAACAAAATCAACGCTTATCAGTTTTTAAGTCTAATATCTTCGGTTTTCATCGATTTTTTTTTTCTTTGAATGTGTTTCTACTTCCGAAGATGTAATCTAAAGGACACTAAAATAGCCTTGGTCCAAAATTATTTTCTCGGAGTGCATGACATATTCTGAAAACTTCCAGCGGACAAGGCTCTAAACGTTCTTCCTTCATTTAAATTCTGACCGAGGCTGGGGATTGGAAGTAGATCTCGAGATAATTGGCCAATGTCACGCGACCAGTTAGTTGTCTCCGCAAGTGGTCGAATTTCTTTCTTTTTTATGATACCTGCTTGAAGAAACTTATGAAAAGCACATATTTACCCATTTTTGAGAATTTTCAAATTGTTCTTTAATATTATTGTTTATAAATAACTGAATCGATAGATAATTTTCATGCTACATTATATTAAGTAAATTAAAGGTTTAATATTCATTAAGTAGTTTATGGAATTATATTACGCTCAAGATACTATACTAATCAGTTACGTGTTCTTTTCGGATCCAGGCCACTGATTCTGCTCAACCCCGAAATCGGCTTTCCAATTAAGCGATTGTATGGTTCGATATAATAGAAAAACGAAAAAAAAAAGTAATTCTAGCAATGTTACGTATTGTTTTTGATATCGTAACAGTTTGAAGAAAGTCGATTCTGCCGATAAAATAAAAAAAAATAAAAACTTAAATCGTATTATGTTATTAGTTCCTTGAAGTGAAATATTCACTATAATCAGTTTCTTGTGAACTCAAATAATTTTTTTCATAATTACAGATGTTAAATAATGTTCTTATTTTAAAAAAAAAATATATTGCTATATATTTTAGTGGCCATTAAGAGTATGGTCAAGTTCCTCAGCTCATTTATGGCATCCTTTGGCCTAGTTTAGAGATGGTTATGATGCCATCCATGAGCGCCTTGTTCTATTCAGTGTTAAAATAGAATAATATACACATAATGTAATCCACATATTGTAATTTTTACTACTGATATATATCTACATTAATTAAATACCTAAAATTGAATTAAAATATAACTAAATTTTTGATTTTTTTTTTCGTTGTTTTCTTGAAAGTAGAAAAAAAATTAGCTTTAAAGAAAATAACTCAAGCAGCTATAACTACAGTGCCTACTTTCGCTACTAGAAAAGTTTATAAATTGTGATGTTCTATTTACTTTTAGTGATGTAACCACTTTTAAAAACACACCTGTGTTAAATGAATTTTGTCAAGTGTCTCTCTCTTAAGAAGACAGATTAATGATGTAAATAAAACAAGTAGGTTCATAGCTCTTTATTTTACAGAAATCTCTTTTTAATTAAATTTAGCCATTTATCAAAACTAGGAATACCTATAAAAGAAATCTAATTATTTTGAATTTAACCATTTAACCCCTCCACACTCCCAGTCAGGCTGGCTACTCCCCTAGAATTTTTATTTTTATTAATGAGAATGTGAAATTCATTAATATTCTTTTGAAAATTAGAAATAAAGATTAGAAATTTTAGGAAGAAAAGATTGTAAGCACTTAAAATGGAATATTACTTTTTCTTTGGTCAGTTTAAACTATTCCCTGTATGGTAAAAGGCAAAGATAGAACATGTTAGATGCAAATCATCTATTTTTCTAGAAAGCTAAAATTTTGTTTCCATGTTATCTTATTTTTCGTTGATTGCTATCAGGTTTGTAAAAATCTATAGATCGGTCTACAATTTTTCCACCAAATACATTTTTACCATGTTATTAAATGAACTTTTATTTACATCTATCTACTCATTAAAATATAATCACTAAATGATGCTTTGACTCTTTAATGTTTTTTGGAATATATGTAAGATGGGAAAAAATATATTGGCTCAATATGAGAGACAACCCTAAACATCTATATTTCATGGATCTTGAACAATATTGTTTTACCAATAGGTATCTTCACAAGATAGCTTTCAAATGCCAAAAAGTATGTTAATGAAATAATAGGAACATTTTTATCACCAAAAAACAAAAAAAAACATAAAATTTGTATGTCTAAATTAAACATGAATTAACATATCCATAATTTTAGCAGGGTTGAAATTCATCTGTAAACCTTACAAAATAATAAATGAACAAATAAAAAAAAAGAAAAAAAAAAAGAGGATGAAAAATGATTCTATTATGAGATATCGTATATAAATCATCATATAAATAATACAATAAATTAACTTTTATGAGAGATTAATTGTTTATAGGTTTAAAATCAAACTTTATAATTATTACCATTGTTCGAAATAAGCTATGAAACTAAGTTATTTAAAAATCAGTATTCTAATATTGAAAATTAAATGATTTTTTTTTAAAGATTATGTTATTATCTATTAATTTATCATTTCATGTTTCAGCTGTGGGGATGATACCTGTAAAAGAGTGAGTACTAATTATTTGAAGTATTTAAATATGAATTAAGGAATTATTATATGAAGTATATCTGTAAAAAAACATTATCTTGAAATAAATTTTATTGTTATGCGTGTATATTCTTTCTAGAAATCCAGAGGATGAATTGTCTTGGCAGATTGTGGAACCCAGCATGACAAATGGTCATCAAACTGACATCTTCAAGGGAGATGTCTGCGATGACAGTGTCATAATGCGGAGTGTAAATGATGTTAAAATGGTGCTTAAGGTGCCGCCTCGAGCAAAACTTGGTTGCGGGTAATGTTTCATTTCATGTTTTATTCCAAACAACATCCATCCTGGACATGTAATAGATCTGTGAAATTCATCTTCAATTTCCACTCTTTTGTTATTTTTAGATTTTCTGGGGGGAGGGAGAAGAGGGGAAAATAGCATTTTCTTGATACTGAGAATCTTTGGAAACTTAAAGTCCAATTTATTTTAAGTGAATGGGTACATGGGTGCTATTAATTGTTTATATTTAAATATAAATTTTTTCAATTTTTTCTTCTTCGAAAATGATCGAGATATTTTGGGTTATTATTATTGGGTTATTACATTCTTGAAAATTTTGGGTTATTATCCATCTATCGCTTACAGCATATCATAAAATCATAAGTACCTCATTTTATAAAAAATAAAATCCACCCTTTTTATTGACTAAAAAGGCATACGAGTTATGTTGCTACATCACTATTAACTGAGTAGTTTTGTCAATTCGCTATTTTATTTATTATAAAATACACTTTGTGGAAAACTGTCCTTTTAACATTCATTGATTCAAATATATCTATCTGAATGAATAAAATCAGAAAAATTATATCTAATGATTTGAATATATCTTTTTATAAATGGTTCTAATTTCTCTCTGATTTTTTTAATATCTAGGATCTGCAAAGGTCCCGAATGGAAACCAGGTGTGTTCATTCAGTTTACCAAAGAGAACAGCATTGCCCGCCAGGCAGGCCTCAGGCCAGGGGATCAAATTCTTCAATGTAATAATTTTGTATTTACTCCAGAAACACCATTTAATGAGGTAATTTTAATAAAACATTACATTTATTATAGAAAACATTTTTTTGTTTTTGTGTAAGTATCTCTTCTTAAAACATTATTATTTTATTTATTTTTGAATGGAAGATCAAACAGTTTTATGCATAAATAAATCAGTCATACAGCAGATTATTAGAAGCCTTTATAGAGATATTTGTCTACTTTGCAACCTTTAGATAAAGCATTTTATATTATATTTTTATCTTGAGACAATTATTTTTATCTTGTGACAATTATTTTTATTTATTTACAATTTAAACTACTTAATACCGCCAGTTATATCCTTTAATTGACATGCTCTAAACAAAAAGGAAAAAAAAAAGATAAAGGTCAGAATGATTTTTCTGATCTTTTCCCTTGTACAGAATGTCAATTTTTATTAAACTATATGTAAATAAAATTAAGGTTGTACAATGCTATGATAAAGCTAGTTCTAATATATGGTTTGGATCTGGACACTAACCAGCACCCTAGAAAAAGTGTTGAAAGATTTGAGAGAAAAATCCCCTACACGATAACTAGAGCGATCTGGGATCAGAGTACTAACACATGAAGAAGAAAGACCAGTGAAGAACTGCTTACAGATACAGGTCAATCAATATCTCATGATATGAAGATACAGATGTTAAGATGGATGGGGCATTTTGGCTTTTAGCTCGTAGCAGTCCATCTACATGACAATGAATGCCTTAATAGAAGGCAAAAGACCACGTGGAAGGCCAAAAAGTAGATGGATAGATAGAATAAACAAATATGCAATAGAGCTGCGTGCAGATAAATAGAAAAACATAGTCCAAAACAGGCAGACATGGAACAAGCTTGTTAAGGCAGCAAAAGATCTACATGATCTCTAATAGCCAACAGAAAAAAAAAGTTAAAAAAAAGAGATATTTAAAAAATTATATGGATGAATATAATACAAACTTAAGATATGATTCTTAATTTCATTTTACTAAAATTAAACTTAACCACTATGATAATAAGCATATGATATCCCTTTTTTAATGATGCATATCACATTTATGTCTTCAAGAAGAGTTGTAATACTATCAGAATGAAAACAAAAATTAATAAAAATTATTACAACTAAAAATTAAATACAAATCATAATAAAGAACTCATATATTAAAAAAATATATTTATTCAGATAGCGTTGTTCAAATTACAGAGAAACTAATAAGAAAATTAATTTTTAGAACAATGAGTTCTTAGAAAGATTGAATTTAATCTTTATTTTTTTATTCCCAAAAGCATTCTTGATATTTTTTTCTAATATGGCGCCTTTAAGCAACTGAAAAAAAAAGAATAAATAATAATGAAAGCATTTCAAAGAGGGGCACATATTCCTATACTACTGCTTCATAAATTTAATTTTTGAAAACTTAAAATGTAAATCTAGACAAATCGCTTGCTTATCTTATGACTTCTTAAATAGTAATAAATAAAGATCATAGTAAAAAAAGGCTAGCATTAAATAAATAAAAACTATTTAGTAGTATAATGTGAGGAATTACTTATTCTGTTTCTTATTCTCCCTTAAAGGCTGTATCAGTCATGAGGTGCAGTGGTGTCCTGGAGCTAATTGTTAGAAAGGGTGCAGGCTTGGAGCTGTTTCCAGGAGAATCTTCTGGTTACAACAGCTCAGCTAGTAGTGTTGCTGGGGATAACCCTCCAAGGCTTGCTGTATTACCGGAAGAGTGTAATGGGTAATGTATTACTTACAAAGATTTGTTTAAATTAAAAGCTACATCAAATTTATTCTATTATTATCCATTTTTTCATTAAGTCAGGCCAAGTTAAACATTATATGAAATTCTTGCACTTTATTTATCTGATAAAAAGTTTTTAACTATCACTTTTTCTAGTGCTAGTGATGCAGCGCCTAATGGAAGTGACAGACGATTAGACCAAGAAGTTTTGAAAAATGGTCGAATGGACTATCCCAATGGCTGTACAGTAATTCATGTTGGTGGTGATGAGACTGATAATAAAAAGGTAAAATATTCTTTTTTTATTCTTAATTATACTTCATTCTTATTAAATTTACCATTATTTTAATTTTTTGTATTTTTATCCATGAATTTCTATCATATGAGAAATGACTGGAAATAAGTTCAAGAATTTGCATAAGTCAAATGGCATTACGGTCACCATGTGAATGTATGTACAAGATATCCTCATATTTGTATTTTCTATCCATGCCAAAGTTTTGCCAGTTAACAAATGTAACCAAACTAAGTACTTCTAATTGCTCAAGATGCTCCAATATAAAATATGAATACAGTGTTGATTTCCATGCTGTTTTTGGAAATTTTAAGCATGTTTCTCTTTTGTGTCTAGAAAGCCTTTATTTTGATATAGATGTAATTTACTTAATATTCTTATTAATGTATTTTCTTGAAATACATTTTAGTTGTGAATTCTCAAGTACATTGAAAGACATTTGCAAGTAAAAAAAAAAAAAAAAAAAAAATTAAACCAAACAATAAAATCTCTAATATTGCTTTCTACAAGGTTTAAAAACTTTGAATATCTTGAATTATTGGTTAATGATTTTATGGAAATTAACAGTTTGTGTAATAATTATTTTTATTTTTTTGTCATAGATTGCAGAAATATGTATGGTTTCCCAACAACTCGAGACGAAGACAACAACAGTCTTTGTGGAAGTTCACCATAGCGAAGACGATACAGTTTCAAATACCCAGGTTTACATTTTTTTCTTACTTTTCAAACTTTATTTAAAATAATAGATATCAAATTAACAGGGACGGACTTTACCCGTCAACCTAATAACCGAAGTTGGAGGCAATAAAATAATTATGAGTTTGAGTCCTGGCCCAGAGGTCTTTTAACTTTGGTATTAATCCCCTGCCCTCATCCCCTGGCTCGGGAAAACCCCCTGTATTAGCTAAAAGGCAAGGTAGGGGAGAACATAAGAAAAAAAAGATATTAAATTAAGTTTAATGTTGTATTATTTTGAAGCACTAATATGTCTGTTGATTCTAACATTATTTCTTTAGATATAGAAATTGATTACTTTAATTTATATTTCATTTAATTTTCAGTCGGAAGCAAGCACTGATAGACTGACCAACAGTTCATCAGTAAGTTCCTTTACCAGTAGTGCCAGTAGCCTGAGTAGTGCAATTAGTCAAGAACTTGAGAGGAGATCTAAGGTAAATTGTATTTAAATTGTCTGTGCTGTAGTTACTTTCAGATTTTTTAAAAATTAGATATTGAAAACCTTATAGATGAGTCATACATAGGTTTTTATTAACATAAAAAGATAACCATGCAGTAACTTTTGATGTCTACTTATTAAGAATAACATAAAGGAAATAACTTTACACAAATTAATTTCAAATCAGTAATTAGGTTCACTTACTAATTCTTCATGAGACACAATGTAATGTAACATGATTAGTTTTTCTAATTCCTTTTTTTTTTTCTATTTGTATTGTCTTATTAATTTATATTATTTTATGAAAAGTTTTATCAGTCTACAAATCAATTTTTTCAAAATCATTAGAACTTGGGATTCAATGTTTAAAAGAATATATATATATATATATGTGTAAATTTGTTGTTTTCATTTATATCATCATTTATTCTCTGCAATCCGTTGTCTCTGTTGACTAATAAAATCAAAATGAAGGTTATATGATTGGGTCATTCACTAAAAGCTATGTAATGCTGTTTTGAGCATACGGCTCGATCGATTTTTAAGTTTGATAGCTGAAATTATTCTGTGAGATCCCCTCAATGTTTTGAATCAATATGAGCTACACACACTTTTGAATGAATGGCAGAAGCAATTTTAAGTTTGATGGCTCTGCCTAACATATCCTAAATGAAACTCAAGACTCTTTTGGACTGATGGACATGGACCGATACATGGGACGAAAAATAATTGCCTGGAGCTATAATGTGTAGTGGAAGGCACTCGACTATTACACCTAGTTTAAATATACGTTGATATCAAATTCTCTATCAATCCATCAAGATGTTTAAGTAGATATGGAAGTTCATTCTCTTAGGGTGGATAGAATTTCTCAATTTCTGTAGTCAGGTTTTTTAAAAATTCAAATATTTTTTATAAATTAAATTTTAAGCATATAATTTTGTTAATTAGGTTTTTTTTAATAATCAAGTTTGGATTATACTGATGCAATTAATTTTCTTATTAATTTATGTTTAAATTTTGGTTTATTATTTTCAATAATGAACAATTGTAATCATCCAAAAATTCAAAAACTTAATCCCCCCCCTCAAAATTTGAGTTTTTCATTTCAGGATACGTAGAACTCGAAAATCAAATTTAAAAAAAATTGTTCTGCCCCACGCCGTCCACCGTCTGCACATTTTCTCCAAGACTGCTGTACCTATTTTTTTCAAATTTGGAATCAAAGTCAGAAGTCCCGCAAGGATGATCCTCCTACCTCGACATTAATATCCACCCTTTCCTTTCAAGTTGGCGGCTAAAAAATCTGTGTTGGTAGAAAAAAATACTGTAGCCCCTAAACGAATGTACCGATTTTTATGAAACCTAGCTAAAGTTTTCTCCTCGGTGCCTTTTAAATATATGTTTAGATCATACTTCACCGAAAAGTACTTCCCTTTCAAGATGATGGCCGAAAGACCTATGTCATATAGACTGTAGTGCCTGAACAGATGTACTGTTTTAAATGAAACCTAGATAAACTTTAAGAATTACGAAAGAGAAAACTTTATCTAGGTTTCATTTAAAACAGTACATCTGTTCAGGCACTACAGTCTATATGACATAGGTCTTTCGGCCATCATCTTGAAAGGGAAGTACTTTTCGGTGAAACCTAGATAAAGTTTTCTCTTTCGTAATTCTTAAAGTTTATCTAACATAGTTGAACGAAAAGAAGCTGAAAAAAGTTACAAGGAGTCGTAAAATTCAATTTCCGAATAACTCATAAAGCATAAGCTTTTTTGTTGATGTTTTATACAGTCATTTAAAATTTATGGAATATCCAAAAATTTTTGAAATCGGATAATTTGGTGCAAAGATGTGGTTTTTAAAATACTTTTGATAGGTTCTACTGCAAAGCTTATTTCCTTTATTTTGGTTTTTAATATCCTGAAAGTGTTACATCAACTGAAGCAATATGTTTTTGTTCTTCGAAAATTTTAATGATGAAATAAAAAATATTTAGGGCAATGATAGGAACCACCTTTTATTTATTTTTTCTTTATACCACAAGGGAAGTAATGTTACTTTTTATACATAATTGTTTGCAAATAATAAACCATTGTGTAATAATTTGCAACATTTATTTTTTTTAAATAATTATTTTTATTAAAAATTTATTAAATGAAGTTGATGTAAAAACAGTGCATTTTGGCTCCTATTAAAAGTAGAATTATATTCAAAATTCATAAACAAATATTGATTCCTGTTATGTGACCATTGAGGGAATAATTTTGTCTAAAATGTATTCATATATTTTAATTCTTAAATATCAATAAATAGGCAGATAAGATTTAAGGATTGGTCTCATTGCATGTTAAATTTTAGCAAAGGTCGATGGGGAATGAATCTCCTGCCAAAACAGTAAGGCAAACAGACAAACTAATTAAAAATGGCCTTGCTAAAGAAAAAGTTGAACAGCATGAACAACTGATGATGGAATTCAAAAAGGCTCACAGAAAGATGTTTTCATCAGATTCTGACTCTACAATTAACAATGAGGTAATCAAATGTAAAAATAGTTTGATGACTTTGTAAGTTTTTAAATTAAATTAGGAAGTAAATTATGATAATGAGGTATGTAAATGAAGAGATAAGTTCAATGCTTATGATATTTAGTGTTTACGATATACTAGATCAAAGTTATGTATCAGCGAGCTATAAAAATATTTAAATGAAATGAGCCTGGAATTCATTTTTTTTTTAAGAATATTAAAAAACCAAAATATGATTAAATTATGTTCATATTTATTTTTAATGTCAAGTTTAAAAATTTAAGTTCCTCTTTTGAGAAAAAAAGTTGATCTCGTTGAACAGTAGATTATTAAAATATTTTTAAAAAAAGTATTATTTAGGTTCTTTGCAAGGTCTTTTCGTTTTCAAGGATAAAATAAATAACCATAATAAATCATAAATTAAATTAAATTTACTGGATATAGTATTTACATGATTAAGCCATTAACCAGATCAATCTTGCCAAAAATTATGACAATATTAGTTTAAAAAATTGTACAGAATATAAAATAATCATTTGAAAAATATTATTTTAATTTAGTCATAAGTGTCAACCTGAAATAATTTGTATTTTATATTTTATTAAATATATATTGCTATTTAGATTATTTGTAATCTAGAGAAGCCTTGAATAAATAAAGCTGTCTGATATATTGTAAAGAATTATTATACTCATTATCTATTTTATATAACTTTCATAATACATTTTATCTTTAACTTATACCATGTAATGCATGCATATAATCTATATAAACAAAATTCATAAGTTCAATCTATAATTTACAATTCCATAATTTAAATTTAATCAATTTACTATTATATTATTTACATAACACCTGATATAAATAAAATACATACTAATTCAGTATATATCATCATTTAATTATATATATATATATATATATATATATATATATATATATATATATAACATATTTATATATACATAGATAAAAAGAGAACTTCGCTCTCATTCACTCAGATAAGCATTCACATAGATTTATTATATTAATGATTAAATTAATGCATAATTAAATTAGGAAGTAAATAATCAATTTAAGAAATATTATAATAATAAATTAGTTACATTGTTTTGAGTATGTAACACTTATGCTAATTGACTTAGTGAGGCTCCATTTACCAAGGACGTTGCTTCATATCGTTATCAGGTGTTTTCTCAACAGCTTTCCTTTCAAATACATGTAGTAGTGCAGTCAGTCCATTGTGTTCTCCATTATCAGTAAGTACCGTGTCTCCCAAACAGAATGAGTTCAAAGCCCTTATTTGTAATCCGCACTTACAGTGTAGGTTGGATGCGTATTTTTGATTTATCAGAAGCCCTAATTTATAGCAATTGTATATTTTAATTTTTCTACTAGGAGAGAGAAGAAAATAGACTATCAGAGAAGAATAATCATAATGGATTATTGAATGGAAATGGAAGTACTCTTCAGAATGGCACCAAGGAACCAGACAAAACTAAAATTAAAAGGCAAACTGCACCACCACCTCCTCCACCAGTGAGTTTCACAATAAGTCATTTTTTTTAGTAATATATCTTAAGATTAGAATATTTTAATATATTTTTAAAATTTCTTTTCACTGGCCTATTTTTTAACCTCTTTGCTCCAGATGTAATGATTTGGTTATTCCTTTAAATTTATAAATTAATTTTTATGAAATATTTTTATCTTTAAATAAATTTCTATGATATAATTTATCACAGCTATAAATTTAGATAGTGACAGAGATAGTGCATAAATAATATTCTTCTTTTAAAAATTATTTTTTATGATCTGCTGTAGTGTAAGTTAAAATTGTAGAATATTTTGAAGTAAAAATAGTTTAAAAAAATTGTTTTTAGCAGATGTGTAAGTTTTTATATATATATATATATATATATTTATATATTCTTTTTTTTTTTTTCTTTTCTTCTAAGTTCCTAAGTTTTTTATTAGCAATAGGAAAAAAATAATATTTATTTTTGAAGGATATTTTTTAAAATATAGTTCATTTTTATCAGATGTTTATTATAAATTTTTTTAATATTTATCAGTCATGAAAAACTAACAGTATATATAACTTGGTAAACATATTACCCAACTATTAAGAGAGATATTTAAATGCTTTAAGCAATTTAATTATTTTAAATTACATTATCAACATATTTTCATTACAAAATCCCTGTCTTTATAAATGAAAAATTCATATCTGGAAATCACAATATTAACTTCTTGATAAAAATAATCTCTTGCTTGTGATCACCTGGGCTATGCAAATGTTAAACAAGTAAAACATTTCTTAGATAAAAAAAAAAAACTGTTTGGTGTCATAACGTCATAAATTTATTTAATATAAATTACAGCAATTCCTTGCCAGTGGTGATTCCTAAATCATATGTATGGCGAGTTCAGAAGAAAATTATAAATTTATTAATACTACAGATAAAATACTGGAAAGATGTGTAGTTAGAAAATTCCTGAGATTTTCTAAATCATGAAGAATTTCCTTTTGAAATTTTAGGATGTATTTCAATAAAGTCAATTAAAAGATTAGCATAAATTAATTTTATTTTTTCCTCATGATAAAAGTGATCAGTTAAGTAGATAACTACTTAATGTATATTAAACATGTAAATGATATTAATAAAATTGTTTTAACAAACCACTTATAATGTATATCTAAACTTCTAATCAACTACAGAACTTAAATTTATTTATAAGATTGGTCAATTTTAAAAACTTGAATCAACAGTAGAAGGGGTCATTAGTACAATACACTATATTATAGAAGAGAAGATTATAATAACTCTTAGCTTAGTTCAATTGACTACTGATAATAAAAACTGCTGCACTAATTAAATTATTAAATTATTTCTTGTAAATTTTTAATTTTACATTTAATTTTTTTTTTAAATTAAAACTTGTTGTTTTACAAGTAAGTGTTCTTGTAATGTTTTGAATTATTCTTAAAGTTAGGAATTTAAATTAAATCATGATTGTTAAAAAAGTCAGGCTAATACTGCTAGCTCATAATCTTAATGTACATATATCAATAATCCTTATCTTAAAATAATTCTGACATTTATAAAGGAATTAATGTCAAGTAGTATGTCCCAATTGTTTTCACACCATTTTCTTTTCTAATATTAATTGTAGTTTTGAGTTAAATTTTAATAAGTTTTAGTTAAATCCTTGTATCCAAAGCCGCGTACTTCGAGTCATTGATCTAACAAAATTAAAAATTTTCTGTGGCACACCATGACCTATGCAGGACTTCAAATTTTCTTTGAAAATGTCAATGTATATGTAGTTATCTATTGTTCCGTCAATCCAAAAGATTTACTTACACCACTGACTTAAAAATACCTCTACACCATCACTGAGGCATACCTTCTTTTCAGGTTGACTTCTTTATTCTTCTATCACACCATTGAATTTTTTATATTAGATTTTAAATTTTGAGAAATGAATTTTTTTTTTTCGTTTTCTAAATAAGTTATTTAATTAAAAGGTTTCTCATCACAGGCGCACTTATGGAATTTTTATGAATAGTTTGATCTATCACCCTTTTTGTCAGATCATTTAGGATTTTCTGCTGGCATTATTTGTTATTGTTCCCACAAAAAAAAAGAATGTACTGCCCCAAAATAGCTTCCAAAGATGGCGGATTAGCGACTTTGGCCTGAGTTAGTTTTTTGGTGACTGAGAATCAGCATTTGGTTGAATTTCATCATAATTAGCTTTTTATTAAAGCTTAATAGTGAGAGAATAATAAACCATGAAACAATGTTAAAAAATAATTGCTTTAGGCAATAAAAAACACGGGTAAAGTCAATTAAAGAAAAAAAATTTTGAGTTGAAAATCATGCGTCATTTGTAATTAAACGGCCAACAATAACGGAAAACTTCCTGGAATAAAACATTTAGAGAATATATTTCTCTTTTTAAATCACTGATAACTTTTTAAAATATTTGAAGTAGTTTTGTAGAAAATGCATTTAATTGGCGGAAAAGTGGTACTGGCACAGGTGCATACAGGCCTCTGCCGCATCATTCATTACTCATAAATGGCTAGTTATAGTACTAGTATAACATGTTTGGTACATTATATCGATTGTATTAATGAACAAATATTAATGCAATAATTTAATCTTCCAAAAGTATAAAACTATTATTCAATTTTTTTTTTTTTTTAATATTACTTCCTTTATTCTATGCGGAGATCATTTAAGAATGCTTCTATTATAAAAATGATATAATTATAATAAAAAAAAAAGAAGAAAAAACCTGTACCACTACAATCCATAAAGGATCGTAGGTTCAGTACTATTAAGAGAAAGTACTGTACAACGGTTGTACAGGGAAAAGATCGGGACAGGATCACGCTCAGCCTCAGGTTTTCCCCCTTAATTAATTATTTCATTAAGGGTACCCACTTTGTAGGGGGTGGGTGTGCCCTAGGAGGGTCTCCTACATCAGGGTCGCCCCACGGCCAATGAAATAGAATAAATAATTATTCTGCCATCAACCAGGATTTGAAATTGGGACCTTGAGCATTGGAAGCTTAGTGCCCTACAACTCAGCTATCCTGTTATCTTATAATAATAAAACTTAATTCAAAAATACTTCGCTGAGTATCGTGATTTTTTTTATTTAACATTTACAATTTAACAATTTGTTTTGTATATTTACTGATTCTTAGAGGTAAGTTAAATTGTATATACTTCTCCAGAAATGAGTCATATTAATACCTGTTTTATAAACTAAAATATAATTAATCTGAATTACATATAATGAACAGTTGCCAGGTTGTTAGTGATAAAACTCATATATCACTAATAAAAAAAAAAATTAATTTAATTTTTTTATTTCATTTATTTTCTTGGGTAGTTGAGCCATATCATAAAAAAATAGGGAATTTTAGTATTGAATGCTTCATTCTCTCTGCAAAAAGAAAGATGGAAAGGGCGAAGCCCCATCTACTTCTTGGTAACCGCAACTAATGGTTAGTATTTGGTATCAAAATGAGGGAAAACGCGAAAGTGAATCCAAAAATTGAAAAAATACATTGAGCGAATGAGGAAGGAGTTGCCGAAATTTCGGAAAAGAAAACAAGGATCAGTATCCATTGTATGGCTAAACGAATATATAGTAGACAGATGAACAGAATATTTCAAGAAGCAGCTAAAAGGGGGTTAAATGCTGGGGCAGTTTGGATGATATTAATGGGACAATGGAGGTTTATTAATGTGAAGACCATTTTATCAGCAAGAAATATTATTTTGAAGCAATTGGCAAGTCATTAGGTCTGGACGAAGTACTCCGAAATTCTGCACGTACATAGGCAAAAATGTGAAGATGTATTCCTCCTCTTTTTCAATGTATACTGCTTAATTTGACATTAGAAAATGATTTGACAGGACTGTAGTTTTGTCCCTTTACAAGCAAGGAGATTCCAGTATACTCATCGAGATTCATTTCTGTTCAGTATACCAAAGAAGCTCTACTCAAGAATTTTTAGAAGCCAGCATAAGAAATATTGTCGATTTTAGAGCAATATGGATGGAGAAACTCAAGTTTCACATTGGAACAGAAGTTGGACATTGGGAATATCTTCACTTTAAGGCAGGTTATAGATAAGTCCATCGAGGGAAATAACACTCTATCTGCTTTGTGCCTCTCACTTTGGATTGTGCAAATATCTAATTGCCCTTCAGAAAAACTTGTTTTAGGTTTTCGTTTCTGATTACTTCAAAGATCTTGTCCAAATTCACTAAACAGAAGTAGAGCTACCTCCCTTTCTCAATGGATCTATTTTTCCAATTTCTGGGTTTAATTTCGTGTTTTCACTCATTTTCATACAAAATACTAACCATTAGTTGCGGTTACCAAGAAGCTACAGCTTCGCCCTCACCATCTTTCTTTGTGCAGGGAGAATAAATCATTCAATATTAAAATTTCCTATTTTTTTATGATATGGCCCAACATCCGAACAAAATAAAGGAAATAAAAAAATGTAATTAATATTTTTTATTAGTGATATATGAGTTTTACTATACAACCCGGCAACTATTCATTATAAGTAATCAGATTAATTATATTTTAGTTTATAAAAAAGGTATTAATATGAATCATTTCCAGGAAAGTATATAAAATTCAATTTACTTCTAAGAATCAGTAAATATACTAAACAAATAAGTTGTTAAATAAAAAATTCAAGATATTCAGCGAAGTACTTTTGAATTAAGTTTTATTTTTATAATTATATCATTTTTATAATAGAAGCATTCTTAAACGATCTCCATTTAGAATAAAGAAAGTAATATTAAAATAAAATAATTAAAATCTTTTTTAATTTTTTGGACAATTAAATTATTGTGTTAATATTTCTTCATTAATACAATCAATGTAATGTACCTAAAACGTTATTATGGCAATATGACTATGCGATTTATGAGTACGGAATGATGTGGCAGAGGCCTGTAGGCACCTATGCCAGTACCACTTTTCCGCCAATTAAATGCATTTTTTCTTCAAAACTACTTCAAATATTTTAAAAAGTTATCAGAAAAAGAAATATATTCTTTTTTTCAGGACTTATTCCGTTATTGTTGGTCGTTTAATTACAAATGACACATGATTTTCAACTTGAAATTTTTTTTTTAAATTGACTTTACCCGTGTTTTTTATTACCTAAACCAATTATTTTGTAATATTGTTTCATACTTTATTATTCTCTGACTGTTCAGTTTAAATAAAAGGTCAGTTATGATGAAATTAAACCAAATGCTGATTCTCTGTGACCAGAAAAACTAACTCAAATCAAAGTCGCCAATCCGGCATCTTTGGGACTATTTTGGGGCAGTGCGTTCACTTTTTTTCGTGGGAACGTTGGCTTTTTTTTAATAAATAATTACAAGGAACATAACAATATGCAATTTATAGGGATGTAGGAGGTAGTGAGCGGGGAAGGGTGCAGGGGCGTCTGGTACAGTCTATACTGCAATCGTGAAAATTTTCGAATTTCAGTTTTCAACTAAAATACACTTTTTGAGGTCTGTGTATCCTGCAAAATAGTCTGTGTCTGTGGTTATGTGTTAGTGTAGCAGGCTTCTCTTCTCAGATAACATCCTTCCTTCTTCCTCTCCTGGCAAGAAGTGTTTTCTTTGTTCTTCTAGCATTCTTCTTCAGCTGCGGCCAATTATCGGTTCTTTTCCAGGTTTCATCCTTTCTCTGTTCTGTAGCCTTTTCCTCAATTGTTTATCGATTAGATACTTTTCAATAAACAACTTGTCCACTGCATAATTGAGTACAAATCATAGTGCAACCCTACATTCCTTCTCATTCTCTCACTTAAAGCCACATAAAGGAGTAAATATTAGAGGCCATCTACTACAATATTTATAAAAGTGATTACTTAGACCATAGTGATTGTTAGCAATTGAGAACTTACAAACTTGTTAAACATGTATTCTTATATTTTTTATGTTTAATGTAAAATATTTCAAGATTTGGTTTCTATATATCATTAAAATATTTCAAATTGTTGTAGTTACCAGATGAAAATGCATTGGAGAAGCAGAAGCCACCTTCCTCCAAGAAGCATGCACCGCCACCTCCTCCACCATCGCCACCATATTGCCCCACTCCTGATTATGATACAGCCAGCCTTGCTTCAGTGGGAAAGAGACGGGCTGATATCGTTGAGATGCAAAGCCTTGAATCTTTCAAACTTACAAACCCATCGACTGTGAAACCGAAGCCACCAAGCACATACTTTGCTCGTGGTATACCCGGATCTGAAAACAGCAATGGGTCAGTCTTTGTTTCCACTAAAGATGAAATTACGTTCATCTTATACTAGGATGTGTTTTCTAAAGTAAAAAAAAAAATATTCTTTGCTTTCTAACTGCTACTTTGATTTATTAAATTTCATTTTTCTATCCAATTTATTTAGCATTTTTATTATAATTTTTTATCAGAATATCAGAGTGTTATTGGCCAATCACACTTAAAAAAACTAAAGTTTCTTCCATATTGAACCCATTTACAACCTCATTTGGTCATATGTTTTGTTGTTAGGATATTGTTTATTCAAAATTCGAGTTCTTTTATCCATCATTTATTTTATTATTTATTTATCTTTGATTATTTTGCTTACCAGTGCAATTACTAAAAATTAATAATTACTGTATATTAAATTTCATTATTGTTAATTAGTCCTCTAGACATAAGCACAATCTTATCATATTTTTTTATATATGCTGTACATATACATATTTCATTTTCGAAAATTCAAAATTATTATTCAATAAACAGTAATTTGATTTGATTCTAGTTCACCAAATATGAGCTGTCTCTTAGTTTGTTTACATACTGAAGTTTTGCAGCTTTGATGAGATTCATAGTCCTTTTTGATTGTTATTATATATTAAAATTATGGTTTTTAATAATATAATGTGATTAAATTGCTTTTTTAGACCAGAATCCTGAAAAATATCATGAGCAGTTAAGATGTCAATCACCATTTTATAGAATCATTAATAAAATGAACTCTACTCATAAATCTTCCATCTATTACTTTAAAAATTTACTTTGTTTTTCCAGATTTTCATCAAATTCTTCTGCCAGCACGATTCCATTAAAGGAAGGATCAAAACCAATTGTAACAATTCGTGAATATCCAGGAGGAAGGGAGAGGAAAAACCCCTCAAAGTTTGACTTTTTGCAAAACTCACCTAAGGGAGCCACAAATCAAGATGAACCAATCACAAGTCGTTTGCAAAATGAATTGTCTCAAACTCTTTCAAGGGCAACCACTCTATCAAAAAATATCAATGAGGTAATTTAAGATTTTTATTTTCAATGAGAAATGTAATTTCTTCAAACTAAAAATTAAAATGTAAAGTTTTTGAATATTTCTTTATTTTTAAATTACAGTTTAAAGACATATTTTGTTATTTTTAAGTCATCGTTCAAAATTATCTGAGTTTTTTCTCTACCATCGTTTAAACCTATTAATTTGAACATGTACACTCTGTAAATAATAAACACATTTAAAAACAACATTGGTCCATATTACATACCTACATCCTCACAACCAAATAGCTCATCATTAAGTTAATTTTTTTAATTTATCTAATTTCCTTTTTAAACAACTCTATCAAGGAGGTGATGATAACGGAGGAGTTCGAATAAAGTAAGATAGACTATTTAGTGCATACCGTTGTTTCAGCATATTTGTATAGGGAATGGTAAAAAGATGTAGAGGAGAACAACCACCCTGAGTATTCATTCTCAGCTTATATTGTGTTCTAAAGAAGGTTGAAAAAACATTGATTTATATTATGCAGAATACCTACATTTTGTGTTTCATTTTGATATCTCCCTCTTTCTGACCATCATCTCCTAGATCATAATTATGTTAAATGACATGAACCAAGAATCCAAAGTTTTTAGTGAACAGTTTTATTAAAACAATGTTTTGATAAGATTCTTTTATCCTAAATTCTTAAAAATTATAGAAAAAAACATGTTCTCTCTGGTTTAAAAAAAATTTATAGATTCTCCAAGTTCAATTTGACCGTAAAAGATGTTTTGAACTAAGCTGTCAAAAAGGGAGTTGACAATTATTATTGAATAAGAAAAAAGAAAAAGAAAATCTGTTTTACTTTTTTTTTGTTTCTAGAATATATATTTTCTGTAAGAAATACATTATTTTTAAATTAAATAATTTACTCCATAGTTAAAAATAAATGTAATTAAAATATTTTCTCCAGATTAAGATAAAAATACTTAAATTAATAATGGGTAAACCAATTGTTTTAATAGTTTCTTAATGCCCTCTTTATAAAGATACCTGAAAGAAAAACATCAAGTATAACTAAATGTGCCTTGTATACAAATATATGTTCTATTTATTGCTTGCACTTGCGGATCCAGAATTTAATTTTGGACGGGGGGCTTCAGCCCGAAAGATTTTTTTTTTCATATATACTATAATTAATTTGAAAAAAGAAAGAAAGAAATTAACTACCTATATAAAATGGTGTTTAAGCGATTCTTGAAGTCCTATTAAATGTTATTACACGAACAATAATACTTTAAGAGATAGTCTTTAATATTTTTTTCTATAAAACATGCTATATTTTAACGTTTTCTGGGGGGCTTCAGCCCCAAAGTTCCCCCGTAGATCCGTCTGTGATCACTTGTACAGCTCCCATGTCTCTTTTCTCTGAATTTAGTTCAGTACCTTCAACCAGTACAACTTTATCACTTTTTTTTTACTTGTTTCAACTGCTTAGTACAAATTATGTGCAAAAATACTTCAAATTGTCATTAACTATCAATTTTTATTTTATTTATTATAATTTGGAGAAATATAACATTGAAGTTAACATTTAAAAGGTAAAAAAAAAAAAAAAAAAAATAAAAACTGCTCTGATAAAGTTAGCTAAGTAGTTGGGTCACTTTCCCAATCTTATTAAAACTAGTAGAAATTACTATTAAACGCCAGAAAAAGAAATGTAAATTATTAAAAAAAATAAACACAAAATAAACACACTTTATTTCAAAGAAATAAACTGAGGAATATTAAAATGACAGTCAATGAAAACATTTAAAATTCACATACTTCAACTTCTAAGTACGTTTTGTTATAAGGACGGTCAATTATGGATATAATGATTAATTAAAGCCTCATCAGGATCGTCTCTTGAAATGATCAGAAAAACTATATTTGTGTCTGAAATATAATTGAATACCTCATTTTTAAAACCGTTAAATTAATTTGGATAATAATCAAGTTGATTCCTTTTAAATATAAAACGGAGAATTATTAAATTATTAGGATTGTGAAATTTTTAGTATCCGTCATTGTAAAATATTGGCTACAATTATGTTTGCAGCATGGCATCATTACAATTTCTGTATCTATTGTCCTCATAACTTGCTTGTGATACCTCTGCATGGGGTGTTATGTAAAAAAAAAAAAAAAAAAAAAAATGGACATTTAACAAAGGGCATAGCAATTATTTGAGAAAATGACGAAATTCCGAGCTGTCAAAATTGTCCTCTTCTCAACATGTTTCATTGTGCAACACTGTCAAACTATATTATTCAATCTAAATGCATCAGATAGCTCTAAGAAAAGGAACCTGAAAACAGATTGCTTACTATCTGAAGTAAAGCAAATAGTTTTTACTTATAGATAAATGAATAGGCAGGCAAGATACTTTTGCTGACTTCCAAAAACCCCTTTCTCTTGCTTGCAAACGATAACCCTGATTATATCCCATAAAAAACTGATTAATATGAAAAGATATGAGAAGTTCATCACTCAATAACATATCTGTGGAATAAAGAATTGGCAACTTTAAGGAATAATTCAGATGTAACAGTGATAATAATTTTTTTCTTAATGTTTCATTATAAAGCCAAAACTTAGTATCATCCTATTATTCAGTTGTTATTGAATTATTCTATAAAAATTCTTTTATCTCACAAATACCATTAAAAAATCATCCATACCATCCCAAAACTATTCAGGCACCTTTTGTCAATACAAGGCTTCATCAGGACTGAAAACTCCAAGATCATACAAATTAATAGCAGAGCATATCTGAAAGTAACAGTCTAAAAATGACTAACTAAATTGTGAGTGTGTTTCTCAAAAACAAATCAAGACATGCTGAAGGGAAAGGAAGGTAATAGAACAACATAAAGGAGGTTATATTTTAGCAGTCAGTTATATTAAACAACTAGATTACATGTGCTTTTAAGATGATAAGCATTAGGGGGGTGGCCGAGTTGGCCAACACGTGTGCACAGCACCACCATTGCCCGGCAACCAGATAAACAGATACTAAGATGATAAAATAATTAAAAGTTTACGTCCCGGTGCTGGAGAGGCTTTCAACTCTGGCATTAATCTCCCGCCCTTTCCCTCGGCCCAGGAAATCTCCTGTATAGCCTAAAAGCCGAGGAAGGAGGTGGGGAAAAAAAGTGAGAAGCATTATCTTTTTTCCTTATTTATTTGGTCTCATGTTTTCTCACTTCATGATGTCAAGTTGACAAAAAAATGACCAACTAGTTATTTACAAATATCTAAGGGACTCAATGTTTTTTTTTTTTTTTTGGAATCATCCAATAATAACCTAATAGTTATTATCTTTTACTGTGAGTTTTTCTTCAGAATAAAATTATATTGTTATCTATAATTACTCCACAAAATCAGCATGTTTCATAAATAAGTATAAATTTGATTATGTTTTCATTTAGAAATCTTTTGTTTCTCCAATTACACTCGTTGAACTATGAGTTCAATTATGTGTACTTTTTTTATTTTTAGTCCTCCTATTACATTTCTAGTTATTTAAATCTTTGGTTTCCTGTACCTGATTATTGGGGAAATAAAACGGATTAGTGTCTGGATTCATCTAAGTTATATTAAAATATTTTATCACATGAATTTAGTCTCAAAACATTTTTCGACTTTGTAAAAAACATTTCTGAATGGAAAAATAATGAATAAGCTTATATCGCCTGTGTGTTCAAATTTATAATCAAAGTAAGTAAAATCAGAGAAAAAAAACGTCCTTAACAAACTCAGTCATTTGAAGATTATTTCTGTTCATAAGATCTGATTTAAGCATTTAAAAATTAAAAAGACATCTTCCAGGAGACTCTTAAAAAAGAAATAATATGAACTTGAATCCTTCAAATCAATTATTTGTGCTGCATGTTTGAATGAATATTTACATAATTAGTATCATATTTTTGAAGAAGTAAATTATTTTAGATTCTATTTAACTGATATCTTTCAATGTAATAAAACAATAGAATCATTATTTTTCTTGTATTATATTTTTATCTAAGATTTTATTTCTATTAAGTTATTTACTTTTTTTTTATTTTATAGTGTACCTCAGAATCCACCCACAGTCATCAGAACGGTAATGGCTCTGTTGGGACTGTTGTTACCATTAACCTCTCACCTCATCAGAAATCAGATTCAAACAAACCGTTTTATTTGTTTCCAAATGGAAACCCTTTAAATGGTGTAGACAATAAAAAGTTGTCCAGTTTAATAACATCTGCAGCTAGCAAGCACACATTTGCAAATGGCAAAACAAGTTCTAATGGTTTAGACAACCCTCCAAAAAACTCGGTAACTTTTAATTTTAATAATAAAACACAAGAAGTTAGAAATGGCCATACTCAGAAAAATGGAATTTTGAAAAATGGCACTGGTAACGTTTCTCAAGTACAAATTCAATCTCAAAATGGGATTGACAAATTTTCTCCTCAGAAGTCTATTAAATTTGGTGGCATGTAAACCTTTAATTTAATTTAATTTTTTTTTACTTTTTATGTAAAATTGTTTGTTATTATTTAATGCTCAATTTATATTAATTTTCTTAGTGTTATATTGAAAATCTATGTGCCTTATGAGTACTATATATGACTGCTATTGTGTCAAGTTAAGGAATGCTAAACCAGGATAAAGAATGGATTTGAAAAATAAATGTTAAAAAAAAAGTTGTGATCTATTCGATATATTGAGACATACCAAAATTTTATTCATCAATCTTTGATTACATTATTTAATGTTTTATGTTAAAAGGGACTAGCCTGAGTTGTTTCAAATGCTAAATATTCTATTCCCTAAGACATGTTACAACACATATGTATATCATCTAAGCAATTTATTTTAATGGCTTGAGAGAATCTAACATTACCTTAGATTTATGTTTTCTGTAATATAAATATTCTCATGTTTTGTAAATGTATTTAATTATGTATATGTATTATAAATAAGTTCTAGTCAAGCACTGAAAAGTTTAATTGTGTTGTAGCTACCGTAATAGATATGTATAATATGTATGAAGTATATATATGTAAATTAACTGAATAAATGTCTTTAATTATATTTTTTTATAATTCTACTATTCCTGTTTTAAATACTTATTTACTATATTATTATGTTTTTTAATTTTTAATTTAATAAATTTTTAAATGAATGATATTCTCTATTCTTTTATAGCTATTGAGAATTTAGTGAAAACATCATTATATTTGTAAATTATTGTTGGAATCATATATGGCTCTTCCACAGTTCATTGAAATGTTATATTCATAGTTATACTGATTAATTTTAACTTTTTAAGGCTGCAGTTTTAGGTTTTAATCAGTATGAGCTTATAGAAATTTTGTGATTTCAAATACTGATATCACTAGTTGGCCCGTGCGAATAATCAGTCAGTGAACAAATGGAATAAGAGTTGTTTGAAGGAGTTAATGGATTTGGTTTGATGTATGGAGATGGGTAAGGAGTTTCAGAAGGAGGTAACAAGAATGATGAAGGATTTACTGAAGGGAGCGGCTTTAGGGGAGGGGATATATAAATGTATAGGTTGAGATCTAGTGTTGAGACAGTGGATAGAAGAGTGTAAAGTAAGGAGTTCTAAGATGTAGCTCTCTTTGGTTTTTGGTTTTGAAGAATTGAAAAAGGAAAACACTAAGAAGGAACTGAAGTAGGATAAAGCCACTTCAAATCGGTGTACTAACAAGAAACATGGCCACGCTTGGGAATCCCAAAGATAAATCTTATAAAGCAGTACATAAGTTTCTTCAGTCTCACCTCCAGTCCTGTGGACAGCCCTCCATACATCAGGCAACCGTAGTCGAAGTGGGAGAAAAGAAGAGATGTTACAAGGAGCTGTCTGGTTTTTTTTTTTGGAATATAATCACGGAATCGAAGGAATTGAGGTTGTTCCAAGAGAGGTTCTGATCAAAGATCACTCTGAGGTTTTTGACTGTCGGAAAGAAATAAGATATTGTTCGATTTCCCGCTTGGTATATAGGAGGAGCTGGAAGAGTATATTTGATAGTACTTTGTAGGCGCATGGTAGGATGAATATTCCGCTTTAGATACCACAATTAAGTATATCCTCCTTGTTATGTATAGATCATATTAAGATCTTACTCCATTTTACAGGCATGCTCTCTTCAGCCCATTGTCTTGATGATATTGTGAAGAGATCTGATAAGTTCGGTCGTTCCTTGCTTGAATAATTCGGCTGGTAGACCATCAATGCCTGGGGCTTTATTGTTTTTGAGCCAATTGATGGTTTGGATGACTTCGTCATCGTCAGGAGGCTCTAAATCTCCTTCCAATGGTATGCTAGCAATGTGTCCATTTGTTTCACCATCTCCATTTAACATTTAACGCGTCCGCCATGCTGGACTCAGCATCTGTTTTGACTCATATATGGAATTTGCTTGAAAGGCTTCTTTCTACCTTCTGTTGGCTACCTGATTGAACTTTAGGGCATCTTTATCTTTCCTACACTTCTCCATTTTTGCTAGTTCAACGTGCTTGTGCTGCCTCTACAATGGAGTCTCTTCTCTTTCTGTTATATTCTTCTGAAGTGTGTCTTGTTCATCGCCAGTTATATCATCTTCTTTGTATATGTGGCAGCTTTACACTCATCATCAAACCACAGTGCTCAAGCTTCTCCTCTAGCTGTTCCCTGAATTTCTTCATCTGTCCGTGTATAGCAGAAGAGCATCTCTCCCATACCTCGTTCATTCCCTATTGTGGCATTCCATGGTCTTCTGTGAGAGCATGGGCACTTATCATGGTAATATTTCTAAATTTACTCCCGATTCTTAATAGGCAGATTTGAGGACTAATAGATTTTTTAAAATCCAATCACCAAGTTCTTATAACGCTTTCTGACAATGAATCCAATCCCTAATAAAATAACTTAAGAAATAAATTGATTTTTTTAGGGAAGGGTACGACGTTATTTCCCGGGGGCGCCAAATGGACACCTCTGCACCAAATGTCAAAACGTAAAAAGTGAATGTTATTTTTGAATTCTGGGCATACAGTTTTTTAACTTCTCAATCGAATACAAAGCTTTTATAAGGAGAAAGTAAAAATTAAAGAGCACAAAGTTGAAGTAAGAAATATTATTTATTCATTGGGACTGAAACACCTTTTCTTCAAAATCTCTTAGAGAACTTTTACTACATCATTATCGTTGCAACTTTACTTTTAGGCGAACGCAAGGCATATTCTTTCCTTAAAGATTCAGTGAACTTGGCACGTAAAAAAAGTCTTGTACTACTTATATTCACTTATAGTATAAGGTAAAACAGAAGGCTGTTAGCAATGCTGAAAGTTATCAGGATGGAGTGAATGAACAATTTTTCATAAATTTGTAAAAAATTCCTACCTTGCAAGGGTCTACTCGCATGCAAGGTCAACAAGAATTCGTTAGTGTTGCGTTATATACAATTAGTACAAAATAAAAAAAGAGTGAAACATGTTCAACTCATTTCCTTCCTTAAGGGGTCAGGGTACACACTATTTGTTTAAGCCTTCCAGATTCAATGGTTCCTATCAGCTACAAAAAAATAAAATCGTTTAGATGGTGTTTGACTGTGTGAGAGTGAAAACTAAGGAATTATGTAAAAGAAAATATATGACGATTTTGCTACAACAGCATGGTAATAATAGTAGGGGAAGAATAAGGTCGTTAAAAATTATGATCTATTTGGAGAGCAAGTGATATTTATATTTTATTTTATTTATTGTTACATTCCGCATCTACCCGATCGGGTCATTAGCGGCTTTAGATGTAATCAACAGCAAGTGATATAAAACATGATTTTTTTGAGGAAATATATTCAATTTAAAAATTGTATTTCACCCGACGTATAATTAATATCTTAATTTGTTAGAAAGAAAAATTAAAGCTAAAAAAAAAAACTAATATACAAACTGAAATAAATATCATCAGTTTATTACAAAATTTCACTAAGTACATTTTTAGTATATATCAATAAGTTATGTGTAAATTTCAACCTTATTTGTCGATGAAAAAAACACCGAAAGTGCTAGATAATAATGCAAACCCTTTTGGATATTAAAAAAAATTTCAGTGTGTGCTTTAGATATGCAAATCCAATTTTTAGTTTCTGAAATATTTTAATCCATATCTTCTATAAAACTCGTTATCATTCATTTTTGACAGTATTTTTTCCTTTTCACCTCTCTAACACGGCGTCGCGTTAAGATGCAATTTTGAACAATAGTTCATTACAGAGAGGATGAAATGATGATCGTTTCCCTTGCTTACAATATTCAGATCCATTTTTTAGTTTTTGAGATATTTTAATCTATACGCAAAGATACTTTAATTAGACGAATCCAGCCGACTTTACCCGAGCTTTACACATCGGAGATGTGACGACTCATTCTAATTCACTCTCCACAAAAAAAGTACAAAACGCGCCTTAAGAAGCTTTCACTTCAAAAATAGTTACTAAATTCATAATTTTCTGATTTCACATAAAGAAGTTCATCTAAGAACGTAGTAATTGGATTGCAATTTTAATTAAATGAATTTTTGCCATGAAACCACGGTATATTTAACACAAGTATTGAAAGTGCATGATTTGAATGTTTTTTTCTTCTCCATCTTATATTGGCACATATATCGAAACCTTACTCCTGAAACCTTCAAGTCGAAATTCACGAAAGTTCTAAAGCCGGATTTAGACATTCCATAAACTAAGGGACAAGCAAATGTATAAATGGTTATTTCACTATGATAGTACTTTTGTTTCTTGTTTTTTATATTTTCCATCTGCTGTCGGTATCTAGATAAAATAAAATAAATAGTTTAGTTTAGCAATAATGTCGCTGATAATTAAGTTAGATAATTGCGTTTTCCATTGTTTGTAAATAACTCTTATCCTTTAATGCTTATAACTAATTTACTTTAGTTTTTATACTGTTTGGTATCGTGTTTTTATCAATGTCAGAGATGTTTCACTATCCGGCAAGAAGTAATGTACTCAAAACTTTCAGTGGTAAACCGTCAATGTTTTACTATATAAAATACTGCAGAAAATTTCCCTAAACAACTAGGGAAAAATGTTAAAGCATTATGACAGATGAAAAAAGGCTCGTTCTTATGATTTCTTATTTTTAAAAATAATAATGAAGCACTGAAGAAGCCTCAATGCAGTGCCAATATATCGGTGGGAAGGTGTGAAGATGTCCGGACACGCGTACTTCATATAAACGACCAACGTCCGGCAGAGGAAACCCATCAAGTTAAAGCACAAGGCGTTCTTAGAAAGACGTGTGAGGAATGAGTTATTATATAATTCAAGAAGAGGATAGTGTGGAGGATAGTCCAACAGCCAAGTCAAAATTTATTGACTTATATGAAGAAAACTTTTGGGTTCTACATATACCGTGAAATTCGTAATAGCATTCAATTTGTACTGATCTGATAAAACAAGATAATTATTATAAAGTACCCGTAGGAGCGACAGTTCCCCTATTTGATTAAATAAAATCCCTAAATAGTGATTAAAAAAAAAAAAAGTTGTTTTTTAAAATACCGTTTCTCTGGAACTATCGATCTATCTGGAACTTAAATATCTTTTTCAGGAATCAAATTGAATGGAATGCGCAACAACTAGTTTGTGCTATTATCTTCGTAATTAAATTCTCGATATTTGCAAAAATGTATTATTGGGTCAACAAGTTTTTGGATTTGGTCCTCCGGTGGGATACACCCTCCCGAATGCGGCAGACAGTTTTATTAGCATTTAAGGGATGTACAGTTTCGCAATGGCTTGAAACAAATGATCTTTATTGTGATACAATTGTAACACATTTAGGTTCCCTTTCAATAGGCGGCCTTTTGAAATACCCCGCTTTTAGCTGCCAGAATATCACAAACTGGATGTTGTGGAAGAACATAATAACGTTCTGTGACTAAACATTTTTTTTGAACAAGTTACAAAATTTGATCTCGACTCTTAGTCTATCAAATAGGTTGATGGGGGAAAACGGGAATTTGGAATCTACATTTGGCTGTAGGAAGCTATCAAACAGAATCA